CAGCAATACTCATTAGAAAAATGGACAAATCACTAGTGGTGTTAGCCTTGCACTCCCGATTTCAAGAATCCTAGAAATTGATGTCCGATATCAAAGTTGAATTATAGACAATTTGATAGAGCATGTTCTGATGCCTACACTCCGGTTGCTTTGCGCAATAGAAACATTGAGAGCTGAGTTAGGGAAGCATGGAATTGCTTTTAGTTCAGGAGACGCTATAGCCTTCGAACTATAGAATAGATTATTATACCGTTTCCTTATAATATGTTTGATGAGTCTGAAAATCACGCGCAATCAATTTTCCAGAATGTTCTTTCAAATAGGCTATGTCTCGATTTCGAAAACTTGAAATTGATTTTTGGGATCGTCAACAACCCACGATCTGAAATCGAGATAACCGTGATGGGCTCAATTTTGGAACATTCAGGCTATTGGACACCATTCAATGTATAATTATATAATACCTGTGAAGTCGTGTAGATTGTTTGTGAGTGACATAACTATTTATTACGTCCTGAATCAATTTGACCTCAATAAAAATTTACTAGGGAAGAATAAGGGAAGCACGGAGAATCATATGTAATAAGTTAGAGCAGCAATATAGTGTGTGATGTGCTCCAGTATCACTCATTTAAGTATTTGAAGCAGTGTTATCTTCAATATTGTAAACACTAAAATAAATACATGACCTTTGAAATGATTATACCGTATTAGCATCTTCTCTACGATTTGATTTAAGTTATGTTGAGATCCGATTCAACTCAGGACCTAATTGTGATGAAAAAATGATGGTAGAAGGGACATTAGTGTGAAATGGTGATACACTTTATTTCATTCCTTCATATCATTTACTCGTCTTATGATGATTTATAATAGAAGTGATGTTAGTGTTGATGATATTACACTTTATTCTATTTCTTCATATCATACAATTGTATCGTTTACATATAAAGCACACGTTTATATACACGAGTAGAATAAGAGATGATGAAAAGAAAGAAGATGAGGCCAAGGAGAGAACAGATATAGAAGAACAATAGAGTAAGAACACATTGGTGAGAACAATACATGTGGGTGTGGCCAATCAGTGAGATACCCCGATTTGTTTTCTTTCTACAGGGTGGCCCATAAGTAACGCAACCGAGAAAGAAAATTCAGTATCTCCATTACGGCTCAAGCAAACGAGCTGGTTTTTTTGTCAATGATAGAGGTATGTTCAAGCTTCATATCCATAAAGACAAGCCTAGAGAGATCCTTTGTTAAGTATCACCAGTGATCTAGACAAAAAAATTTTCCTTTTTCGCAGATAGGAAAAAGAAAACAGTATGCTTAACGAACGGTCTCTCTAGGCATGTGTTTATGAATATAAAGCTTGAACATGCCTCTATCATTGACAAAAAAATCAGCTCGTTTGCTTGAGCCGTAATGGAGATATTGAATTTTTTTTCTCGGTTGCGTTACTTATGGGTCACCCTGTATTATCAGGTAAAAAATCTAACCATATTCAGGCCAAATTATCACCTTCATCGCGAAACTACTAAATTTAAAATATTAGCTGCTGATGGCTATCCTATATGAAATTATTTTGGCCCTTAGAAACATGATTTCAGGAACTGAATAATTTTTTATAAGACAGTCATCAGCAGCTAATATTTTAAATTTAGTAGTTTCGCGATGAGGGTGATAGTTTGACCCGAATATGGTTAGGTTTTTTACCCGATAATAGAAAGAAAGCAAATCGGGGATATCCCACTGACTGGCAACACTCATATAATATACGAGTAAATGGTAATATAGAATGAGAAGCCCATTACGGCAGAAAGAGAACAAGGTTCAATCATGCATAGATAAGTGTAAGAGTAACGCGATTATGAACACTATGTGTCATTGATTGTACAAGAACACACTGAGAAAGAAAAGATAACACATAAGATAATATGCTCATTGGCATACTAATAGTCCTAAATCTATCCATAGAACAGACTGAAGAAACAAAACAGAACGATTATGACAAATGGTGATTAAAGAAATACAATAGAAAGTCAATGACAAAAATGTTAATAGAAAACAGAGATTCGTACAATACAAAGAAATCAAAAGAAAAAAGAAACAAGTAACATAAATTGTTTGAAGATGTCAATGGTAACATTCATGAGTTTTTTTCACAATTTTGTTCAATCTGTCGAGTTCTTCAACTTGTGCTTTTGTTGGCTTTATTTGCAATACTTCTATTTCAAATGGACGTAGAATGATTAAATCTTGAAGACGTTTTACTCGAGATAAAGGAACATAGATAGAAGCCAGTTCTATTGAACCGGGAGGTAGAACAAGGTCAACAATAATTTTGCTCAACGTTTGCCCTTGACTTTTGTGTGTTGTGATACTGTAGGCGGGCACTAGTGGAAGAGCCCTACGTTTGACCGTAATTTTAGTTGACCGTTTTGTGAGTTTTACGGCTTTTGAAGTAGTCCTTGGCAGTAGCTGATCAAGGTCGAAGTAGAAAGTTTGCTCGCTGACGAAAATAGGAATCAATTTTGGCTTGAGCGTAGCAAGTGCAGAGTCGACCTTGCAGTTTGGAAATTCTACTAGTGCATATATTGGTTGTGTGATGAATTTGGTGTTATCTGGAAAATTGTTGTCATTCAAGTTGCACATGTCGGAAGAATTATCGTACACAAGTTGCCGAAATATGCCCTTCGTACCGTTGGAGAGTCCAAGTTCAGTGGCAATATTTTCAGTAAGCAAAATCGGCATTCCTGGTACGAGTGGTAGGTATCCTGGAAGGTGTTCTGTTTTATTATCAGGCAATTGAAGAATCACTTTACGCAGCCGTAAATCATCAATAATTTTTCCTGTGATATAGTCTTGAGCCACACAAACCATCGGTTGAAGTCCCATTTGAAGAGTTCTGTTTAGAACAGCTCGATTATTGATTTGACTTCGAAGTGTATTTCGAAAGACCAGTATTGGAGCCTATTAACAGTTCTTTTGTAAGATGAAAAAAATCTTCCATAACATACTTCGTTCCATGGAGCTTCGCACAAAGACACTTGTAAAGATGGATTGCCGATAACCCGTGTACAAAGCAATTGATAATCTTCTATAGTTGTTTGCCCATTTCTCAGCCGATCTAGTAATCCCAAGTATTCCATATCTTCTGTCCGCATTTGCTGAATTAGCTTAACAGCACAGTTAATTTGTGACATAATTTTTTGGGCACAGTGTATTTCAATATCACGTTCAGTACATTGTGGTAAGGTCTTACAGTTTGCATGGAGAGGCTTGTCTAAAACTGGAGAATATTGTAAGAAGTCCCCGAAAAAAACTACATTAACACCTCCAAAGGGAACTTCTGGTTTGACATGTTTTGCTGTTTTCACTACTCGATTCAGCCGAGCGAGTAAATTGAGACCAACCATACTCATTTCATCAATTATTAGATATTTCACGTGTCGCCATTGAGTTTCTAATTTCATATCTCCCGGTTTGAATGTTCGTGATCGTTGCTTTTTAGGAACTTTATGACTCTCTCCTAGAAATGAATGAATGGTTAATCCGTCAATTTCTGCTGCTGCAATAGATGTTGGTGCCAGTTTACGAAGCATTTTGAGACGTTTTGTTACTTCAAAGTATTTGGTGATAGCTCGAATAAGTTGAGACTTCCCCGTACCGCCACAGCCAGGTACACACATAAGTAGTTGATTATCATCATTATCTGTGACAAGCAAAATTAAAATTGCATATATAAAATTATGTGATATACCTATGCGAAATCGACTGTCGCCATCAAGATGACCGGTTATGATCATAAAAGCTAACTTTTGTCGATCGTTCAAAGTAAATTCATTAGCGACGGCTAACTGCGTGGTCAATGAAGCCACTTTGATAGCAGTTACAGATGCGATGACATTTGCTTGTCCTTTTGGTTGAGTCACAGGTGGTACCATAATCAGAGTTTCAGTTTTCACTTGGTCGCTTGACTCTGCTTCTTGGTCTCCGCCGGTGATTATATAAGTTCTCGCCAGATCTCTTTTGGTTTCAATATCATGCTTCCACTCTTTACTTATCTTTTTATGATGTGAAGTGCACTCCAGAAATGTGCTTCGATCGACCATGGTATTATGATAGCCGCTGTTCGAAATGTGCTTATGGCCTATAAAATAGTATAACATTTGATACGAAATGTAAAGAAAACATACTATTGAATAGTGCAAATTTATCAGTGTTATCAATTGAGTGAAGTGCATCATTTATATAGCGCTGTTCACGAGTATTGAACGGTTCAAGAGAGGCTGTTGTTATATTTTCATTCAGAACATTGAGCATTTGCAACAGTTCTTCGGCATTTTCTTCATCATTGCCGTCATTTTCTGCGGGACAGCTCCGAAGAAGAATAGGATCAATTTTGTCATCAATTTGAGCTTCTGTTATCACCTGAAGTAGGTGTTCATCACGCTGTTTCTTACATTCATGCAGAAGTTGTATATTTTGAATGACTTTATATCCATTCGTAGAAATCATCGACTTTCGAGCTTCGAATGCATCAGACCACGTCTGCTTCAAATCACAAAGATCTTGTACTGTTCGCCACGGCACGAACAGAGTTAGTAAGGCACGACAATAACGTTCTCGTTTTTCTTCGTGATCATGCCGAGGTATTTGTGGACCAAGAAGAACTGGAACGACTGGAGTGCTGCGTTTGATTAGAATATGCGATGATGATTGTGGATGTGCGCTCTCGAAAGTATGACGGTCATTCATCTTGGTACCTTTTGTAGACAGACATTCTCCTTCAAGCGTCAAAGTATTCTTCATGATGCGACGATCCGATTGGTCGATCAGCTTCTTGTAATATTCACTTACAAAATCATATAAACATATTTTATTGAGATCCTTGGATCGATGTTGATAATCCAGGCGAGTATTCACCAATACATACTCCTTGCCGTTTCTTGTTGGTTCCAGAAGAAACTGTTCTTCTGTTTCATTTACTTCTTGTTGCTCATCATCGTGCAATACATAAGACACATCTATAAAAATATACTTTCTATATACATATCAATATAAATGAATTTGCGTTACTGTCGAAGCTTTCCGCAGCCGCATATTGTTTGCTTTGTCTTGCATTATTCAGTTCCATCTGCAGATAGTTTTCAATAGCAATGAGGAAAAGATTCCTGAATGTATGTGTAGTATAATGGTCACCATTATTCATCAAGTACGATGCGACCTGAACACTTGCTGCTTCTTGATGTGATGCTATCATATTATAACATCGCAACACTCTCGGCTTTAGCAAGACAACATTGAGAAAAACGAATTTTTCTCCGATTGAGAATGAACTCATCTCGTTAACAGAGCCTCATACATTAGAGTTTCTACTATGATAGAAGTTAACATATATGTTGATTTCAACTAATTTGAGATTTAGTTCTTTGCTTGAGAAAAAAAGACCAAAATACAAGGAAGAAAGAGCTGAAGTTGAATGTTTCAGAACTAACTGATCTTTTTAACGAAAAATCGATTGTCCAGATTTGATATTTCTAACTTTCTTTCAGCTTAAAATGAAAAATTCATTTCATCAACAAAAATAGTGCAATAGGAAACTTCAGAAAAAATTCATAGCATGATTCTCTTTCGATTGTTAAGGCACAGCTCTTTCTCTAAACTGGTGAATTATCTTCTTTCAATAATACGATTCTGTTTACGGCTTTTAATTAAAAAAATACTTAAAAGTAAGAAGTAAAACATTACAATTCAAATATGTCTTTGAGCCAATAATTGCTTGATTTTTTAATTAAATTATATTTTGTTACATGAAATTTTTTTTAATGATTGATAGAAAATAAAGAAACGTAGCTATTTTCTCAAACAAAAATATTGTAAGATCAAATAATACTTTGAATCAAAGAAAAAATCTATCGAAGTAACAACGATATATCTTTCTAGAGTACTCAAGATATATACAATAGCATATGTCTTACCCTAATAAGTTTTCATGATTGTTATAGTTGAAAAGGCACATGCACGAATCAAATCTTAAAATATTGAAATAAAACATCTATATAAAACATTTCAACATATAGTTGAGAAATAAATTTAATTGAATTGAAGAATTCATATTCATTTAAAATGTGATATTCAGCAAACATTTCTTCACAAAGATCGATTTGCAATCGATCAATAGTCAGATCAGAACGCATAATTGAAATGATTAAAAAAAGTTTTTTTTTTCTTTTTTAAATGATTTCTGTTAACATGGAATGCAACTGCTCCTGACTTTGAGAGTGACTGCTTGTTTATCCATTTCTGAACGCATTCGTTCACCATATTTTTACTTCGTCTCGCAGAAATCTAATAAGCATGTAGTTCCTGTAGTAGAACAAGACTAATCGATATACGGTCTTTCATCATATACCAATAACATCTTGAAAGATCTATGAGAGAACGAAGGAATCTTGCGAAGGCGTAGATTCTCCTGAATTTGATCGAAAGTAAAAATGTCGAAAAATAAAAACGTCGAAAATAAAAATATAGAAAAACAAAAATGTAGAAAAATAAAAATGTAGAAAATAAAAAAATTGAAATGAAAATTGTACAAAATATAAAAATATGGAAAGAGAAAAATATTGAAAAGAAAAAATGTTAATATTAAAGTATCAACATTAGGGTTATTTTATGTCGATATTTTTCATTTCTACATTTTATATTTTCTACATTCTTACTTGTTACATTCTAATTTTCTATATTTTTAATGTTCTACGTTTTTACTTTTTGACATTTTTCATTTGTACATTTTCATCCTTCGACTTTTTTATTTTCGTGATTTTTTTCGAGATTTTCGCTTCCGACTACATTCAGGTTTACCAGGGCATATGCTACAGACTGTTATAGATTTTTTGACATATGTCGTGCATTTTAATTGGATCTCAATGCTTATCATCTTCTATGAGAATAGATTCGAGCTTCTCACTTTATATATATAGAGACATCAAGGTGGAAATATCGTACTTTTGTGAAACACGATCTGAAAGGAGTGTTGAAGTGTTTAGGAGTAGAAATTTGCACCCCCGTCCCCCTCCCCCCACAGATCGTGACAGACATTTTAATTAATTAATTAATTACTATGTAGTTAACTAGTTACCCATCACAGACCGTGACAGACAGGTTTCGAATCCGTCACAGACCGTGACAGACAGGTAATCGAACTGCTCAAAGGTATGTTTCTGTGACAAAAATGAAGCTTTCTGTTTTTTTTACAATACTTTCTATCGTTTTAGGTACTGTTTCGTCCACTGGCATACACAAATAATCAACTATCACGTGCAATTAGTCTTCTGATTATCGCTCAAATCACTGAAGACGATCTCATAAAAATTCCATTCAACAATGACGATAGTAAGATAAGAACATCATACATTTTAAAAATAAAGATAAATTATTCACTATCATCTTAGATGTTGTATTGTTTTGTCTATTCTATGAAGCAGCAACTTCTGAAGATCATACGGCTTATAGACTCAAGTATAACGAGCTAGCACGTGGACTCTCTGCCATCGGTCGTCTTCAATGTCGAGAAAATGATATTGAAAATAATTAGCAATCTTTTATTTCAATCATTCATTCATCGTTCCTTGAACAATTGGTCAAAAAGACATTATTAATGAACAAATAAACATGTAGCTTTAGTGCAATAACAACTATCCTACTTTCTTGTCTTAACTACTGTAGTCCCAATTATTACAATAAAGTAATCGATCAACTTATTATAATTATAACACCATAAATATATATATATTCATACTGATAATGATAAACCGCCTGAACATTTTGCAAAACAGACTGAGCGATCATTTTTAAAAATTTTCCAACCAAATAGCAACCACGCTGCGATTATTGAATAGTTTTATATCTAAACGTTGACAAAGTAGTTTAATATCCACATTGAATCTATATATTTGGTGCTCATTATTTGAAGTTGACTTTGATATTGAAGTCACAATCAATCAAAGCATTGTCTCACAAAGTTATTTGAATCATCGTACGATATTCGAATTGAAAATGCATTTTGGTTAGCATAAAAAAGAGTATTTTTTTAATTATTGTAGCAGATGATCATATATGTGAGAATTTCAATGCTAGCATCACAGGATGACATTGCTACTGTGACTACTATTATCTAATTGATTTGAAGAAACATTAACGAAATGACAGGTGAACATTAAATAAAATATCCAAGTCAACGATTCCGGAGAAGGGATATTGCAGAAACTGGTGGAAAAATGCAGAAAAATCGCGGAAACTGGAAATAGTATTTCAATCGAAAATTTTTTGGTTTTTCTACGACGATTTTTACTTAGCTCCTGCTGAACAGCATAGGAAGTTGGTCCGAATTCACCAGAAAAAAGCCCAAACTTTCTGATGAAAATACTGCTTTCTTGTTCCAGCGATAACACGTGTTTTCTTGCCAACATCTACTCATACTTTTTGAGCCTGATAGAAGGATGAAAGTTGAAACTTCATGGCTGGTACTATTCTTTTTTCCTCTACCATCCCATTCTCCTTTCAGTAGAGAGCTTAGCGACGATTGCGTCGCGTTACTTGTACACTAAGACTGATGGAGCATATAGACACTGGCTGTAATATCGTGAATCTCCACCGCAGTGCATAGAAGTGTTGGGAAAATATTATTTTTATAGATATTCGATATCGCTCTGTTAAATGCAACACTTACCTTTCCTTTATCATTAAGTTTATTTTTTTCCCGAACACTACGATTAGTGCGTTCTTCACTCAAGTACCCATGTTTGAATCTACTCCTCACCATTTTTTCGATAGACTTTGACGACTCGAGAATGAGACATTTCTAGGAAAAAAAACCCTTTTTATTTTGATCAATTTTTGATTCCCTCGGTGAAAGTCGCTCGGCTGATCGAAAACTCCGTAT